GCAGCTGGGTGGGGTTATCTAGCCCCAGCACTCTTCCCTGCCTATGCAGGGGGTCAGACTCGATGATCTATTGAGGTCCCTTCCGACCCTAACATCTATGAATCTATGAATCTATGAATTTACATCTATGTATTTACTTCTCAATAACTTTTCCATGTAGATCAGCCTTTGGGGATGCATATTAATTTTTTTTTCCTCCAGAAGCATCTGAACATATTCAGTAGCATGTCCAGAACTGCTGCTGTCCTCTCCATCCAGCTGACATTGCTGTAGAAGTGTGGGGCAAATTTCTCTGTAAGTTCTAACATCAGCAGGGTTTTTAGGAGCTTGTACATGAATATGGCCCAGAGCAATATTGCTGTCTGGAGACCACTAGAAGCTGCAAAAACCGACACAAAAGAGAGATTGTCCCCAAGACACCCAGAGTTTCTTGCAGGAAGGAGAAGGAACCACTGTACTGTCAGGGTGTCCAGAGTCGACTCCATTTTGGCCTTCTCATCGATGAAGGGAGGAACATGTCTGAATATCAAGACAGTCTGGCACCAAAGAGAATAAATATTTTTAAATGATTGTTGATTGTAGATTGGATGTCCAACTGGAAGCTTCTTGAATGTGTTTCAAGTACAGCACTGTAGCTCACTGTTAACTTGAACATTTAGCCCAAGAACTTGTTAGACTAGGAAAGCTGGCCAGGATGGGAGCCATGGCAGCCCTGGCAGTGCCAGCCTGACCTGCTTTTGACTTATTTTTGCTTCATGTGCATGTATGTATTTTTCTTTTCTTTCCTCTCAGATTGTCAAACTCGTGCCCAGCTAAGCGACAAATCCATCTTTTCAGAGATCAATTACAGTGTCTGGCTGCAAAGCCTGAAAATCCAATTAACTCCAAAATAAATTTTAAAAAAATGAAAAATATACCAAGTTGAGGGCATAAATCAACTCAAAAATGTTCCAAACATTAAAATAAACAAGGACGAATTTCAACTTCATTTGTCTTCTTTTTGAACTTCTGTCATTGATTTATTTTATTGCTTCGGTATAAGTCTCATTTTGTCTTTGCTCGGCTTTAAAATAAGTTGATCTGCTTGGACTGGGACTTCTGGTTCTAATTCCACCTGGCAGGAGAAAATCACAATGACAGGGATTAGGCTGACACCATGTCTTCAGAATCCTACCTGCTTTAATCTTTATGCATTCACAGGTTCCATATGCAGAACTGAGATCTGCTTGCCTTTTATGTTAGGAATTGGAGTTATTTCCATTTGCCAGGGTGTTTCTAAAGAGATAAAAATGTTCATTTAGATGTTTCTAGATCTGAATAGAACTGTCAGTTGGAGATGAAGAACCGAGGAAGAAAACAAGAAAACACACCAGGTCCTGATTTAATTGTTTTTTCATCTGAACTTGATTTTTGCTCAAACCCAACTTCCCTAAATGTTAGCTCATATTCATGGCCCCATGAGGGACTTCCCCCAGCAGAAACCGCATCGGCCACAGGAACATTGCTGTGGTCACACAGGCTCAGATCACAGTGTCATCTGAGACAAGAGATTGGACTAGATGGACGACGGCAGCCCGTGCTTCAGAGGTAGGTATGAGGAGCTGGTTGAAACTTTTTTGCCTAAAAGAATATTCAGCAAACCATGCTGTTTCCTCACTTCCCAAACAGTTTGTGGAGGTTTCTAGGGGTGTGAGAAGTGGACCCTATTCAATTCAGATTTGGATTCGGCCCAAATCAGGGACAGTGATTCGATTTGTTGATTCAGATCACTGTCCCTGATTTGATTCGGCTGAATCCAAATCTGAAGATTCAATGCTGATTTGGAGAATCAGTGATTCGGAGACAGACACAGCTGTAAAAGTTTTTTCTACATATCTTGAAGTAGCAGCGCAGCTTGTGAACGCTGAGATGCTGGGGCACATGGAGCATCCCACAGGAGTGTGGGAGGCCCTCCACGTGCTCAGCGGCGAACCTGGAAGTAGACCAGATGTACTTCCAGTCCACTTCTGGGTCTGCCGGGAAGTGCACTGCCCCCCCCCGCTCCCCCCAGCTTGGTGATCGGCCATAGGGGGAACCTCAGGTGCCCCCTCCAGACCCAGGAGGCACCAGTCACTGAGCCAGGGGGTGGGGAGGGGGGCAGCACGGTCCCTGGCAGACCCAGAAGTGGACTGGAAGTGCTTCTGGTCCACTTCTGGGTCTGCTGCTGAGTGTGCTGGGTAGCCGCCTGTGCTTCTGTGGGACACTCCATGCGCCCCAGCATCGCAGTGTTCACGAGTCCCTGCTACCTAGAGGTATGTAGAAAAAACATTTAAAGCAGCCTATGTCCAAATCTCTAAATCTTTCTGAATGGCTCCGAATCAATTCAGAGGGTTCCAATTCAATTTGGAGAGATTAAAGGGTCCTCTGATTCTATTCGGATTTGGAGAGTCAGCCGCCGAATCAAATCAGGGACCGAAGCTTTGCACAGCCCTAGAGGTTACATCAGTTTCCACAAAGCTTTCATTGGGAAGGATTTAATCCAGGGCAAAATTGAAGGGAGAGAGATATTGTAGCTTGGTGGTTGCGGTTGTATCCTTGGATGTTTGAGGCCCAAGTTCGTCTCAAGTTTCTGGGCTACCTGATTTGACATGAGTGGGGATGGAAAGCTCTGTTCTCACTCAGACAAGGCAGAGACTCAAACCTGGGTCTTACACTTTCCCCCTCTTTAAAGAGCTTGGCTTTCATTCCTGGATGAAAGAATCTTGCAAGTTGCCACAAAACAGAGTTGTCATCCTCCAATCTGCTCTATAAGAAACCTGGAAATAGAAAGAATAACCTGCCCATGAGGTGATTAATGACCTAACCCAGATGCACTGGGGGCCAGCTTATAGATGCTCTTGTTAGCTCTATAAATGTTTGATATTTCTTTAAATTCTGCAATGCTCTTAAGTTGTGGGATGTCCTGTGGCAAAGAACTCAATCTATATGCTGATGGCTTTGAGCAGCTCCAGGACAACCTCACACTCCCTTCCTGAACTGTCTTTGTAAATTTAACTTATAATTTCATGTGGAAAATCTAATCAGAATTCATGCAAGCATGCCTATCATGGAATTTCTGGCAACTGTACCCAATATGGTTCTGGCAACAAGTTAATAATGGCTTCAGGATTTTGGGGTGGGAAGAAGCATAGCCTTCTTGTAGAAAACGGGCTTCAGAATCTCAGTGAAAATAAAGCTTCCTTAAGGTTTCTGAGAAAAACGTGAAACCATGATCTGAATGGAAACAATGCAGCACTGTCTGCCTGAGTCTGCAGGCAGCCTACAAAAATAGCTCCGAGCAGTACAAACACATTGAATATTTTATTTCCAAGAAGATAGTCACAGCAGAATCAATTTAAAAGAAAAGTTGGCTTTCTCTGGTTTTCAATGTGCATCTTGTCTTTCCTGTGTCTTTTGGACTGAAACAGCTTCATGGAACTGCTTTTGTTTGGGCCTCATATACCACGAACAGTGTTGTTACTTAACAAAAAATAACTAATCATAATTAATTAACCTCCCCTAAACAACAAGAATGAATCATTTAATTTTTGGAAGGGCATTTTTGGTTATATTTCTGACAACAACATGACCGTTTCTTTTTCTAGAGCAAAAGAGAGCCTAGATGTAAAGGAGTGCACATCAATTAAAAGCATCTCCATCAACTGCTTGCAGGTTAAGAATACAAAACATCTGAAAAATGATTCCAAACAGCTGCTTGACTGCAAGTGTTTGTGTTTCCAGGGGTTGGTGCAATTCCAGCCTGTGACTTTGAAATTTCAAGCTACCTTTAAATAATGTCAACTTCAAGTTGACATACAAGCTTGCAAGCTGCTCAGATTTTACAGTGATGGGCCTCCATATACCAACCCTTTCCATTCCAACTCCATTGAATGTATCAGGGAGATTCTGGAATATTCAGCTCACTGACTGAGCAAAAAAAAAAAAAAAAATTAAATAAATTTTTAAAATCCTCAAGTAAAATCAGGTAGCCCTGAAATTAAAATTTTCATATTTTTGCTGGACAAGAAAATATTTTGGATGGATTTGGATTAGATCATTCAACTCCAAATGAAACATTTCTTCCCAAAGAACGTATCTGGATAGAGGAGAAACATTACTTGTCCAGGTTATTTAGTTATTTTTACCTTCCCTGTCTTTTAAATTTAGGTTAACATTGCAATGAAAATATTATTTTGAAATGAAAAGTTGAAGCACCGTCCTTAGAAAATGTTGAAATCAAATATCTTACCCTTCCAAAGTTTTCCAATATGTTTTCCAGTAACAAGTATTTATTAAATTTAACCCAAATTTCTAAATTAGTTCAGGCCTCCCAAAACTATGTTTTTGGTGACATTATTATTTGTTGAAAAAATGCAACCCAGTTTTAGCTGAAAGCACTGACCACTCACACCTGGAGCTGATTTTTGGATGAGAGAATACACTCCCTCTCCTACACCCAGGCTCTCTTTGGAACGTTGGTATCCAGGGACACAAGCCAGGAGGATCATAAATGATATGAGGCTGTGGGGCTGGAACAACTAACATAGCAGATTGCTATCTGTTCTCCAGCCAAACCCTTCCATCTTCCTGTCCCTACTTTGCCCCTCCTCAGTACGGTGCACCTTGTCACACACTTTCCATCCCAGAGACATCCTACATTACATCCTCCTTCCATTGCCCAGACCTTTCTAATTGGCCATTTTTCTCCTCTATTCATGTATTTTTTAATGCTCTTCCCAGGTTCCTCTCTCCATTTGCTAAGTCAAGTACATCTGTGTAAGTATCATGTTGGTTTCTAGTCTCACTTTCAGTGGCAAGGAGGGGAGTGGGTTCTAAACTGTTTATTGAGCAATAAAAAAGAGAACATTACAAGTCATTGCCCAGGGATAATGTGCTAATAATTTTACAGCAGGACACACGGCCACAGCAGACTACAAATGTTAGTAAGTGGGAGACCTGGTAAGCACTGAAGGCAGAGTATAGCCATTCTTAAGGAGATAAAACCTCTATCCTTGCCAGCTCAGAGACAGTGTAACAACTGCAGTCTGTTCAAAACCTCTGCAAGGGAGAAGTGTGATAATTTGCATCCCTTCGAAAGGATGACTGGCTAATATGCACTTCTGAAGATGTTCAGAAGTTAGCAATATAAAGAGAAATTGCAGCAGACCACAGTGGGCATGTCTATACAAGACACTAAAAGCACAGCAAATTAATTTTACTATGCATTAGTGCATCACAGTGAAAACTGTGCTAATGCACTAGTGCTCAGTAGAATTAGTCTAGCATTAGCATCATGTAAAAGATGTGTGCCAGCGCTACTGTGCACTAGCACCAATTACAGCACATTAAGTCAGTGTTACCTGTTATTACGGGTACTAAATAAGCTGTGATTAGGATGCATTCATGCATGAGTAGACATGCCTAGTTTCTGCATAGGTTTGGGTGCACATTCAGAATACATTGCCTCTGAGCAGGGAGAGTTCATAAAGTGCAAGAAACAAATGTACTGAGGTGAGTCAAATATGCCTCAGAAATAACAATAGCTTTGTGAACCACTATAAAATTAAACCTGGTCCTAGTTCAGTGCTATGATGCACAAATAGTACATAGGCACCTACAATTCCATCATGTTCAGATCCCTTAATATAAATGATGGATGAGTTAATGCAATGAGTAGGTGGGTCCTTCCCTCCTCGCTGCTTTATGTGCCTTAGTTTTAAGGCTAAGAGAAAGATGTGTCACAGGAGTTGACTCATTAGCAGATTTCCAGGGATTCAGTCAGAGTGGAATAGGGTTTTATATAGACTTTCAGTTTCTCTTGGGAGAATTGCTGATCTCCCAGGAGAAACCACAAGTGTACAGATGTTCAATTTTTCTCCCAGAGTAAAAA